TTTTTTACTTTAACCGTTGCAGTCTATCAGTCGTATAATGCATTGCAATGGTAACAAAATCTATGAGAGTAAAAAAAAACATGCACAGACAAATCCAAATTAAACCCTGCGGCTCGTGACGACACATTGATGTCCTAAGACACGAAACGATCGGTTTGTGCCAGAAACCGAACAGTATTTATATAATTTTTTACCTCTAATACACCACTATGTCCAACTGTCTTTGAGCGCGCGCAGGCATCCGGTGCGTGAGGTGTGTACGCGCTCTGGCGTAGTTTACGCAAGCGCCGGAAGTGATCTCTCGCGCGTATACGTCACTCATTGTTTACACAGTGCACAGTCATTGTAGGTACGACGGCTAATCAAAATGGTACTTACTTGCGCTTATCCGGATTGTTCAAACCGACTTAAAACTAAAAGATTACGTTCTCTCACGCGAACTCATTCGGGAGTGGTAACTTTCCACGCATTCCGAACTTCTGAGCCTGGTCGCCTGAAGTTATGGTTGATTGCTCTTCGGCTGGATATCAACACACCCATTAACGGAAACTACGCCGGAGCACACCTCACGTGCACGCGCCCCAAAGACAGTTGGACATAGTGGTGTATTAGAGGTAAAAAATTATATAAATACTGTTCGGTTTCTGGCACAAACCGATCGTTTCGTGTCTCAGGACATCAATGTGTCGTCACGAGCCGCAGGGTTTAATTTGGATTTGTCTGTGCATGTTTTTTTTACTCATAGATTTTGTTACCATTGCCATGCATTATACGACTGATAGACTGCCACGGTTAAAGTTAAAAATCATCATATGTGTTCTACTGAAGAAACAAAGTCACCTACATCTTGAATGCCCTGGGGTAAGCAGATAAACATCACATTTTCATTTTTGGATGAACTATCCCTTTAAGGACTGTAATGATGATAGTTCATAGTCCCCACTTCAAGAAAACAGTGTAAGATCTGACAAGCTTCTTCTGAATGGGTAAGTTTGCAGTCTTTAAATGCTGAAATGTTTTTCAATCACCTATGGTCATGTCGAAGGTCCATGCAGGCAGCGAGTCAGACGGCCGCATGTGGGTGTTGTAGGGTAGTGGTATTTTGAGCTGAATGGGTCCTTTGACGTCAACCTTTTTTCCATTAGACACTAACTGGGCACTGATCATAGCCAAGGGGTTTAACTTGACATTCCTATAACCTGTAATTGGGGATGTAATGATAACAGATTAATTTTATAATCTGCAGAAAATACATTAGAAAACTGTGTAAAGGTGTGTGGTTGAGAGGATTGATATTATGTGTACAATGTGCCATCATGTTAGCTCTTGTTTAAATCTGGTTATCCTAGCAGCCTGATATTGCCTAATCAATAACAAGTAATAATCAAATTAAATGGAGTTTAAGGTTAACCACCACATGCACCAATGTTTATAAGTTCATTGAAGTAACTGAACTGTAATTGCTCAACGCATTAAAAACCAATACAGCCAACACTGAAAAAAATTGGTTGGTGACAGTAAAATCTTTGCCTTGAAATAGTAATGACCATTGGACCCACGGCTCAGGCAGAGCGACTTAAAAATAGATCAAAGTGCCAAATGTCGGATGAAACTAAGGCTTGAGAAACCTTGAAAATCGTCTTTGAAATGTCTCTCAATACTAAAAAATAAAAGAAGTCAATCCCTCATTCTTTGCACATGCAGATCCTCAAAACAACAATATAACCAGGATGACACAATGGCAGGCACTAGAAGTTAGTCAAATAAAGCAACGCAGCTTCAACATTTTTTTCTTAACTTCAGGCCCTGATATTTAAAGGGGTCATATGATGTTGCTAAAAAGAACGTTATTTTGTGTATTTGGTGTAATGAAATGTGTTTATGCGGTTTAAGGTTCAAAAACTAATTATTTTCCACATACTGTACATTATTGTTTCTCCTATATGCCCCGCCTTTCTGAAACGCGTTGATTTTTACAAAGCTCATCGGTCTGAAAAGCGAGGTGTGCTCTGATTGGACAGCTATCCGGTGTGTTGGGATTGGCCGAATACCTCAAGCGTGTGACGGAAATGTTACGCCCCTTACCATACTGTGATTCCCTGTCCGGCCGGAGTGACGAGACAAAAACATTAAAATACATTTTAAACGAGGGATTTGTTGCATCCAGTGGGGACATAACTACGGATTATAATGACGTATACTGTCTTTTTATGCGTTGCATCGTGCCGCGTAAACATATAACCATGTCTGCATTTGTGATCGGAGAAATTACAAACAACAAGCGCTACTCTACACTGCGCAAAACTCGCGTTTGAATCGTCAGTGGCAAATTCTTTAATATAAAAAATGTAGTTACAGTCTGTGTGTCAGAACAGCCTGCATTGTAGTCTACTCTCCCAGGATCAGGAAACAGTCCTCCATAAAATGTGCTGCACACATCTGAATATTTGGGTTGAACTGTTCTGGAACAGTGTTGTAAATACAACTTACCCACTGATTTCTAGTCGTGTCCTCTTTTGGAAGGCCAAACAAAGTAGTTTTGCCTTCACAACGAAACACACAGCGTCACACACGGCGGGCTTGAGTGAGCGGAGGCTGGCGGGCGGGCTTGAGTGAGGAACAGCCGGCGGGCTTGAGAACGGCGTGGCCGGCGGATTCGACGAAGGAGCGGCCAGCGGGCTTGCGGCAACCACATGTGACGACCCCGGGCTGGACTCCGCTTCGTCCACGGTGAAAGCCGATCCGGCGATCCACAGCGCGAGGTTGATGTATTTCCTCAGCGACCAGCATTGATCAGCTCTAGGTATGACGAAGCGAATATCGTCCTCTTTTGGAAGACCAAACAAAGTAGTTACAACTTAACATGACGAAGCGGATAACGTCCTCTTTTGGAAGGCCAAACAAAGTAGTTTCGCTTTCACAACCAAGCACACAGCGTCTTCACGATATGGCGGCAACAACAATACTACAGCGAGATTCAAAGTTACGCCATCTTTCTTTGCGTGAACATTTGGGTGGCGTTATGCAAATCTTCCCACATCGTGACGTAGACGTGGGGGCGTGTTAGAACGAGCCGTTTTAGGTAGGCGTGGTTGACTTAAGTTTTATAAAGAATATCTCTTTAGATTTGAGACTTTAGTCTTTGCAACTTTACAGATCTTCTTTATGCACCAAGAGCTTGTAACACTCCAAAGAGAAAGGAAAAATTTAAATCGCATCATATGACCCCTTTAAGCAATATTAAAAGATCACTATTACATTTAACTAGATTACTATAATACAACCATGACCTGGTACTTAAAATGTGTAACAGGAAATTCGCTACTAGGCTATAGCACACAGTAACATTGATGTTGTGAAATTAGGTGTTGCTCTTTGTGCTGTTCTAGACCCATCTGTGAATGGCAATGGCAGGTGCTTTCAAGCTGGGGTCCAGGAATCCCCAAGGGGTCAGCAGAAAATTTAGAGGGGGAAAAAGTATAAAAATAATCTGAATTATTAACATTTATTTTGAATTAATGATCGAAAATGTTTTTAGATCTATGTGCAATGTAAATGGCAACTGTTTATTTTTTTAAACATGTTGTTTTCGCAATATCACATACAATTTTTTTCAAATGCACATATATATATATAGTGGCCTCACATTTGAGTAATTTTGGGGTCATTGACATCAAAAAGTTGAAAACCCCAGACATTAAAGACCTAATGGATTTGATTATACCATCTCAAACAGAAAGGTCTGCTCTAAATTAATCCCACCTTAAATGCATAATGACCCTGTACATTCAAGATAAACATCGTAATGTTGCTCAACCATATCAGCTATTCACCTTTAAATAATGTAGACGTGGCTGTCCTAAATAAAGCCTGAAATAGGTGGCTTCACTGCAAATGGCCCTGTAGAAACGCTCCGCAGGCTCACAAATAATAGACACATAATGAACGCTATAGGCCAATGTTATGAGGCAGCAAGCACAGCGGTCAACAGCGCACCCCTGTCCTTTGTTGTCATGTACCCCATCATGAAAACATCCCTATTATTCGCAAGCACGCCGCATGCGGAGCTGATGCTGAGGATGTAGATGATGCTGAGCCTTTACCTGATGGAGGCACCGTCGCATCCCCCTGTCCCTTGAGCGGGGACGTCTGTGTGTCGCTGGCATTGTCCTCCTCCGACAGCGAGGCGAGCACCCCACCCTCCGCTCTCCTCACGTACCCATCCTCGCAGAAAATCAGCAGCGCGGCGAGGAGCAGACACCCCGAAAGATCTGGCATGGCGTCTCAGACATAACTGCACTCAGTGACACGGAGAAGGAGAATGTTGTTGTCTTTCTGTCTTTAGGTGGCTGTGTATGTCACGGTCACATCATGCTTCTCGGGTGGACCGATGGATAATCTGAGGGAGCTGCTGGAGTCAGACGGGTGCGCGTGTTGCGTCACAGCTCACGCGATGCCATCTGCTGGCTCAGTGTTTTTTCTCTTTGTTAAAGCGCACGCAATTACGCAATGCTCTTTTCAGGCCTTGGTAAACATTTTACCAGAATATTTTTATTGTTTATATAACATATTTTAAAATATGAGCAAAATATGTCTCGAAAAATCGTTATCGTTAAAAATCGTTAATACATACACACAGGTTTGTTTTTATGGTTTATGGGGACTCTCCATAGGCGTAATGGTTTTTATACTGTACAAACCGTATTTTCTATCGCCCTACACCAACCCTACCCCTAAACCTACCCCTCACAGGAAACTTTCTGCATTTTTAGATTTTCAAAAAAACGCATTCTGAATTATTTATAAGCCTTTTGAATTACGGGGACACTGAAAATGTCCTCATAAATCACCTTCTCGTTGTAATACCTATGTAATACCCATGTTATTATACAAATTTGTGTCCTCATAAACCACATAAACATGCACACACACACACACACACACCTTGGTGTGGACAATGCATAGACTTCCTTTCATTTTCTGTCAGGTTAATTATGTTTTCTGTCACCTAACCCAACACCTACCCTTAAACTTACCCATCACAGAAACGTGTGCAGAACATTAGATTTACATAAAAACACACTTTGGCTGATCTAGAAGCCTTTTTAACTAGTGAGGTAAAATGTCCTCACTATAGTGGGTTGTCAAAGTGAGGACATTGTGACACTGGACCACAAAACCAGTCATAATGGTCAACTTTTTTTAAATTGAATGAATTTATCATCATCTGAAAGCTGAATAAATAAGATTAGTTTCTATTGATGTATGGTTTGTTAGGATAGGACAATATTTGGCTGAGATACAACTACTTGAAAATCTGGAATCTGAGGATGCAAAAAAATAGAGAAAATCGCCTTTAAAGTTGTCCAAAAGAAAAAAGAAAAATCGATCATTTTGACCCATACAATGCATTGTTGGCTATTGCTACAAATATACCGGTGCTACTTAAGATTGGTTTTGTGCTCCAGACGGTCCAGGGTCACATTTGGTCCTCACAAGTGAAGTCAAAACAAGTACTGCACACACCTACCTCTAAAGCCACCAAACTGAAGAAATCCCACAAATGGAAGTTATTGAATTACGTAATAACAAAAATGAATCACATTTCTCTTAAAACAAATATATAAAAGCCATTTTAACTTTCATGAACAGAATCATCGTTCATTAGCTTTAAGAAGACATCTGAAGGACACGGCAGGTTTTTTTTGAGATACTGATTTTATTGTAATAATTCAAGCGAATTACTGTTATGATGTACAACATACAAACAGACTGTGTGTGGAAAAGGTCTTCTGTAAAGAGTCTTGAAAGAAAAGTGATCACATTTTCTCACTCACCCATTCTCCAAAAACAAGTGTATTAATAACATAAAACCAGGAAATTAAGGATCTTATTTATTTTTTTAAAATCATAAAGATATTGAAAACAAACATCTCCTTTTTAAGCAGTCCTATAAATGAGTGGATGAACGTTCCTCAACTGCACCATGTAAGAGTAAGAATCTTCCAAGATCCTCTCTTTCCCCAAACCAGCTTCTAAGCATAGTTAAAGCACTCATGGTGGTCATCAGTTGACCTTTTTTTTTTTCTACTGAAAGCTTTAGAGTGCTCACCAACCTGATGCAAAAAAAGAAAAAAAAATGAAATGAAATGAAATCTCCCATAAACTTTGAATTATCTGCATATTATGAAAGCCTTGTGATAGGCTAAGAACAGTGGTTACACTGCCAATCAGACATTGGCTAAAGTCACTTCAAGCAGGAGGACACAGGTCAAGAAAAGCAAGTGGGAGAAGACAGACAGACTGCTAAGCCACGCCCCCTCCCTCCCTGCCAACACATTAAACCTCCTCCTCCTCATCATCATCATCCTCCAAGTCACAGAAGTCGATGGATGGTCTGCTGTCCTCCGCCTCATCTTCATCAGATTCTGCATATGAACCTTTGAGTCCAAACATAAGAGATATGAAGAAACATTAAAAACCAGAAGGGGAAGAGGGAGGAAGAAGAGAGAGAAAAAAAAAAATAAAAAATGCCAGAGGCCACCTTCTGGTGGAGAATTAAATATAAGCAAGCATTTTTAACACCAAGGAGACACTGGTAATTCCTTCTATGCATTCAACAGCCAATTATGACTCACTATGTTAGTTCAATAAATAAACAGATGTATTAAATGCCATGCAAATAAATCTTAACATTTGCTTACACTTTTAACTTCATCCAGTTGTTTATTTTTAAACTAATGCAAATTTTTGCTTAAGTAATACAAGCACCAGAACAAACACTAGGTTCATCAATACTTACCTATGCTTTTAAAAGCAGTTGATATCGATTATATCAAGATTAATATACATGAACTGACAAGATTTAAGGGTTTTATGATGCAGTACCAAAATAAATAGTAATAATTCATAACATACTTTCAAGATTGTCCATGTGCTCGTGTAGAGTTCTCGCCAAGTTGAAAAACTGAGCGAGAGGGGAGAACGTTTTGATTTTCAAAATCACAACAGCTTATAATGAACACTTTCATATTGAGTGACTCACCACACGAGTCAATGCACTGAACTTGGACATGAACAAAGCAACAGGAAAGATGCAGAAGTCTTACCCCAGCATCATTTACTGCACCCAGGACATCAGAAAACCTCTGCTCACACAGGTGCAGGAGCACCACCAGATACAGCCCGCAGCTGATGAACTCATACTCTGACTGAGGAATCAAACACACAAATATGAAACTAAAGATAAAATTAAAAATATAATTAATGTAACTCAGGGGTGTCCTGCAGAGTTTAGCTCCAACCCTAATTAAACACACCTGAAGCAGCTAACCAAGCTCTTACTAGGCATACTAGAAACTTCCAGTCAGGTGTGTTGAGGCAAGTTGGAGCTAAACTCTGCAGGACACCGGCCCTCCAGGACCGAGTTTGGACACCCCCTGATGTAACATTACTTGCTTAAAGTCTTTAAAGATGTTCCTTATTCCACAGACTCAATAAGGAGTCTTATCAACAGTGATGGGATTTTAAGCAAATACTAGTTCTGATTCATTGTTTTTCTATATAAATGTGCTAGACCAGGGCTGTCCAAACTCGGTCCTGGAGGGCCGGTGTTCTGCAGAGTTTAGCTCCAACTTGCCTCAACACACCTGACTGGACGTTTCTATGCCTAGTAAGAGCTTGATTAGCTGGTTCAGGTGTGTTTAATTAGGGTTGGAGCTAAACTCTGCAGGACACCGGCCCTCCAGGACAGAGTTTGGACACCCCTGTGCTAGACAGATGTGGAGCTCAAGTTAAAAAAAAGTTAAACATTTCTAGATTAGCATTTTCCCCCTCATTCCTTGACCCTGTGTTTCACATTTTTTAATGCAAGAATGCATTCTCTGTGTGAATGATTTTTAGCAAGTCAGTTTACACCAAGACAAACGCTCCGGGTTACAATAAACATTTTAAATATAAATGGACTACGAATGCATCCGATCAGGACAACTCAAACGTTGACATGCTTGTCAGGTTTTTTTTGTTTGTTTTTTTTAAACCGAGAGGGGTTCATATGAAAGCCCATTTCCACCACTGAATAAAGAACAATAATTAATTTTCAATAATTTTCGTACAACTCTGACTTCTTAAAGTTTAGAGATATAAACTCACAAGTGTGAGTTATAATGTCAAAGGCTGAGGGGGAAAAAATATTGATATTTTCTCTCGTTTTTCTCTTAAGTCTTGTTGACTTAACTCACAATTGCATGTTATAAAGTCAGAATTGCGAGATATAAACTTGCAATTGAGGATTTTTTTTTTTTTAAAGTCAGAAATGAGTTTAAATCCTGCAATTGAGTTTCTCGTAATTGCGAGTTTATCATACAATTCTGAGAAGAAAAAAAAAATTAAAAATCAATTAAAACTATGGCGACTTGGTGGCGCTTATAAAAAGAGCATATAGTGAATAGCAGCAGAAGAATGCAAAACTGATTCTTGTGCCTCTGAACTACTGTATTCAGCATGGTTTGATAAACGCCATAGCAAATACAAAAACCGCAACATCTTTTTTTTGAAAAGATGCAAGTCTGTTTGACTTCCTTCTTTGTGAAAAGTGAGGGTAAGTGTCAGAAGTGCTGCTTTTTGGTGTGAACAGGCCTTAATTCCATGTAATAATTCTTGTTCCTCAGAGATTCTTTAAAAACCATAACCACACAAATTTGTGTACAGGCAAGTATGTTCTGACCTTAAAAATAATCTAAACAATGTGCTTTATTGTATACATATTGGGCTGACACACTTACCCTTTCATGAGATCTGTAGAGCTCATTGATGTCAAAGTTCTCAATGTTCAAGTGCAGTTTTTCCTTACAAAGTTCACAGGTAGTGATGGCTTCCAAGTTAGAACCTGTGTATGAAAGTGCACATGTACTCAATATGAATGGAAAAATAGCTGCATTCATCTCTTATTAGCAAATGTAGCCCTCAAGTTTTTGAACCCCAGTTTACTCAAGTATTCTCAAAGTAAATACTTTGGTACATAATTATGGTAGTCATTCTGAACTCTACAATGCACTGCCACAGCATTCTTCCATAATGCCCTGTAGCCTCCTTCCTCAATGTCAAAAGTTCTTCAGAAAAGTTCAAGTATTCTCAAAGTAAATACTTTGGTACATAATTATGGTAGTTATTCTGAACTCTACAATGCACTGCCACAGCATTCTTCCATAATGCCCTGTAGCCTCCTTCCTCAATGTCAAAAGTTCTTCAGAAAAGTAAAAAAAAAAAAAGACCGTTAA